CTCAATCGGTCATAAGAGGGAGCCAGAACGACTGTTAGCTCTCTGTTTGGTTAGATGCTGGGCTGATCTGATCTGATCTGTAAGTGCCATGAGCTATTGTAAGTTTTGCAACTGCAGACAAATTTTGAATGCTGAACTGATTATATGATTACTGGAGTATGTTATTTGGATTATCCCTTAACTGAAAGACATTGATGACTGACTGACTTATCTGTGTATGACTTGGACTGTTTGATGGACTCTGATACCTCTATTTCCACGAAAGTAAAAGCCTATTTAAACTGCAGTCTCTCTGTATGCTGGTTTGTATGTTCTCCAACACAACTCTCACAGCGCTTCTCTGAATGCACTCGCCCTCCCAACAGAGAACTTACCTGTCTATAAAGAGCAGATAGAAGGAATTGAATCAAACATAAGGTCTTGCCCCAGCAGACCCCTCAAGAAGGCAGAACTCTTGAAACAAGCAGCATTTCAAAAGAAACTTTTATTGAGAGACAGTGATAGCAAAGAGAATAGGCAGGATCTGAAATCCCCACGCTAAAATCAGAGGTGAGTTCCTACCTATTCGGTCCAGTTCGGCCAAATAGGCAGTAACTCCGGCGGACACATGGCCATACCAGTTTTATCCTTGGTGACGCCATCTTGATTTTCTGTTCAGCACATGCGCAGAACAATATTCATTGAAAAAATGTAATTTTTATTCCTTTTTTAATGTTGTGCGCATGTACAGATCGTTTTAAATGCAAATGTGCATACGCACAAAATTTTTAGAACGCTGAACCAGTAGTAATGGCAGCCAGAACGCACCCCTGGCTAAAACGTTAGGTTAAAAGTTACTCGGGCAATCGTGAGCCAATCACCAGATGTTGAGTTGCTGTAAGAACTTTAGGCTGGGAAGGTGATAAGAAGTTGCTGTGCTCTCATCTTTTTTGGAGCTGAGACAAAACAGATGGCCCCAAACCAGAGGTGGGTTGCTCCTGGTTTGACCAGGTTTAGCCAAACCGTTAGTGATAATCTGGCCTAGGTTGCAGAACCCAGGCTGGCCATGCCCCCAAACTGGTTCTCCATTGGCGTTGCTGGCATCTTGTTTATTAGCTTTTAATGGTCTTTATGCATGTGAACTGCGCATGCCCAAGCAACGCACAGCTAGTGCACGTGCGTGCAAAGTGGGAAGCGCACGGGGAAAACGCGTGTGTGAGCAATTTGGTACCAGTTCGCGCAGAAACCCACCCCTGCCCCAAACCCCCTCCTCCCTATCCCAGGGTGATAGATCAAAGAAAAGAAAGACCAAAGCAGGTGAGAGGTCATAAAAAAGCCAAGGCTTCCTTCCTTCCTTCCACTAGAATGGCAGCATCCCAATAGGGATCTATTGGGGACCTGATATCAATGTTCACATAATCCTTTGCACGCATCCCCTTAGATGCTATCTAAATGATTTTTGTACAAATTTCAGCCATTCTGATTTGGACAAAAACTGGTATTGTGGATTCTCTGGGACAGCGTCTATCAATCAGTTGCACTGTAGTGTAGCGGTGAGCTATTGTACAGGAAACATTTATTTCACTAAAAAAGGTAATAATTCCGTAGGAGGGAAGGAATGAGATTAAGGGCCCAAATCTTTTAGGGTTTTATTTTATTTATATTTTAGGAATGAAATTGCTGAAAACCTGTATGATGTGATAATGGCAAAATTTCAGACATGTTAAAACTACGGTGTGATTTTGTTGTTTGTTGGCATTCAATTCCTAAAAATGGAATTATTTTTCTAAATGTTGCTTAGCCATTTAGATCAGACTGCAGAAAACACCATTGGGTCTGTTACCTTCATTCCTACTTTTTCCTCTCTGCATCACCTGTTTCATGCCAACTTTTTCTGATTGCTAGAAATTCTTGTGTCCTCAATTCCATATTAAAATGAGTTTTTGCTCCACTCAGGCATGGTTCCTGTATCAGGCACTGAGGAAGAAGAGGTGACGGATCCCAATGGGGAGACACTCACTATCCTTGCAAAATTCCAGCCTCTGTTGATGGAAACCATGACAAAGAGCAAAGATGGCTTCCTTGGTGTGAGTAGCACGTGTTTTTTTAAATATATATTTTTATTATTTACATAGGAGTATATTGAACACAGTGTGACCGTCCTGGCATTTCATCCACCATAGAAACCAAAGGGAAAGACAAATAACATATATACTACTTACACTGTACTATTATTTTTGACTAACATATTCATTCTAATACATATATAATATCTCATTCCAGGTCTACTTAGCCTATTTTTTTCATGTTCTGACTCCCACCTCGTGTTTCCAGCCATTGATAAAATCTATTCCATGTGTCATAATATTCTAGCTCTCATTTGTTTTTTAATTCTAACGTTAGTCTATCCATTTCTGCACATGTTAATATATTTCTTATTATCTCCTTTTCTGAAGGGGTGTTTTCACTTTTCCATTGCTGTGCATACATCATTCTCACTGCTGTTAGGATGTGAAGTATTAGGTATATTGACCCTTTCCTATAGCCTTCTGTTATAATATCTAATAGAAATAATTCTGGCTTAAATTCTATATGTAGCACATGTTTTGAAAACATTGCTGCTACAGACATATATGGGGAAGACAGTTTCAATCAGCAGTTCTGTGACTCCAAGGCTTCAATCAATTGGTCTTTATGCTGATCATAGATCAACATAAAGGGCTCCAGGGCACTTATCAAAAAGAAGCATAAACGTATAAAAGATGCATAACAGATATAAAAAGATGAACATTTTAAAACATAGAGATCATATATGTGTAAAACTAAAGCTAAGAATGCATATGCAACATAGAGATAGCCCTTGATTTATGGCTGTTCATTTAATGACTCTTCAGTCTTTTTAGAGGGTGCTGAAAAAAAGTCACTTGCTATTGTGACCCACCAACAGCCTGCAGAGCTGGTAGTAGTTTCGGACAGTGAGGAGGTTGGGGAGGAACATGGGCCAGTCCTGGAGTCTGGGGAAGGCTCTGATGAGGGCTCCGTGTCAGAGGCAAAGAGAGGGCCAGAGCCGAATGCCAGTTATCAGCTGCCTTCAGAGTCAGAAATCACTGAGGCAGAAAAACAGCTGGAGCCTGTTCCCAGTGTGCATGCGCAGAGTTGCCAGACGAAGGGAACAGCTAAAGAACAGGATTTGACTTGGGAGTAAGGCCAGATGATGAATGGCCCCTCCCAGAGGAAATAAAAGAGGAGCAAAAGGGGAGTGGAGTTTGCAGGAGGCAATGAGTTTGCTTAATTGATTCATGACTCCCCCAGACTCCTTGCCAGGTTCTGCAGATATCAGCCTGGCAGCTCTCCAAGCCAGATAAAATCTGTGACTGTAAATCCTCCTTTGAAAGACTTTGGTGGATGTGAATGAGCAGGATTCACAGTCAGTTAATAAAAGGGTTTTTTGTCGGGACAAGGAATTTGCTTCATGCTCTTGGGAAGCCTCGGTCAGAACACTTATGACCAGTTCTTGCATTTATGAAAATCACAGCATCCCCTCAATCAGAGGATCAAAAGTTGGGCGCTGGAGCAACTGGCATGTACTTACAATTGTTGCAGTGGCCCAGAGTCATTGCCATTTACAACTTTCCCAGCTGGCTTCTGGCAAGCAGAGCCACTTCACTTAACAACAAATCAATTAACTACAGTGATTTGTTTAACAACCGTGCAGGGCGGGGGGAGGATCCTAAAATCAGGCAAAACTCACTCAACAACCACCTTGGTTAGCAATGGAAATTCTGGCCCCAATTGTGTTTGTAAGTTGAGGAGTACTTGCAATCTCTTAAAAACTAGGTTTGCTTATTAATAGGCCTGCTTCTTTCTTCAGATTTCCCATGTGGCCTTTACTGGGCTCCGCAACTGGACAGCTCCTGCTTCACCCCTGAGTATGATGTTTGCTCAGCAATTCAAGTCCTTTCTTCCCCCAAAGAATAAGTTGGAACTTGGTGACACTTGGTGGATCATTCCCAGTGAGCTAAACATCTTTACCGGATATCTTCCCAATAATCGTTTCTATCCTCCAGCTCCCAAGGGCAAAGAGGTAAAGTATTATGCTTTCTTAATGAGGAAGAGAAAATAATATTTGCAATTGTTGAGTGGAGCTATGTGGAATTTGATACAACAGTGAAGTTGTTGGTTCTTACTAAAAGGGTAATTCGACATCTTTAATTTTGTTTATTGAGAAGTGGAGTTTTAAAAAAAAATTATTTATTTAGTTTGTCACTCATGTACAAGATAACAGGGATAAGAATAAACATGGACATGAACACAGGAAATGGGTACAAATAAATGGGGACAGTAGGACAGGGACATTAGGCATGCTGGTGCACTTAGGCACACCCCTACTGACCTCTTAAGAATGGGGTGAGGTCAACAGTAGACAGTTTAAGGTTGAAGTTATGGGGGTTTAAGGATGTAACAGCAGAGTCAGATAGAGCATTCCAGGCGTTGACCACTCTGTTGCTGAAGTCGTATTTTCTGCAATTGAGTTTGTATCTATTGTTGCCTGTGTATTATTGCGGTTGAAGCTGAAGTAGTCGTTGACAGGTAAGACATTGTAGCAGACAATTTTGTGTACTACGCTTAGGTCAGACCATAGGCAGCGTAGTTCTAGGTTGTCCAAGCCCAAAATTTCAAGCCGGGTGACATAAGGGATTCTATTGTGAGTAGAGGACTCTTGTCATGAAATACCCATGGACTTGTTCAATTGTATTAATGTCCGATATACAGTGTGGATTCCAGGCAGATGAGCTGTATTCGAGGATTGGTCTGGCAAAGTTTTTGTATGCCCTAGTTTGCAGTACAACCTTACCAGAGAAGAAGCTTCGCAAAATTAGATTAACAACTCTTAATGCCTTTTTGGCAATGCTGTTACAGAGAGCTCTGGCACTTAGATCATTTGATATGAGTCCTTCAAGGTCCTTGGCAGAGTATTTCTGAACTCCGTGTATATAACAGTGTTTCTCAGTCTTAGAAACTTCAAGCCCTTTGGATTTCAACTCCCAGAATTTCCCAGCCAGCATGCTGGGGAATAGAAAGTAGCAAGAAAGCCTGCTGGCTGGGGAATTCTGGGATTTTGAAGTCCACATGTTCTAAAGTCACAGAGATTGAAAAACACCAGGGTACAAGTGGATTCATTAAATCCAGTCCCTGCAAAAGTGACTTCAGAGGAAAGCTTTGGAAAGAGGGAGAAGGGGGAGAGAAAGCAATGGTATTTTAGTGCAGTACTTTCTGAATCACAGAAAGAAATATTGCGGATCAATAGAGCACAAAGTAGAAATGCAGTGCAAATGGGCAGATCAATTTCCTGTCCTTGGCAGCTGCCCATTGGAATATTGGCTAGCGTGTATTAAAGACCAAAACCACTATAACAAATATTCAGTAATGACGGGAGCTATAATTTATTGAAAGGAGCAAAGAAATGGGAGGGAAAGCAAAGAACCTGAGATACCTATTGTTGAGGGACATTTATCTCTAGTGAGGAGAGGCAGCTGGAGTATGTTCCCTGTCAAAGAGAGACAATGTGAGGGGAGATTTAATAACTCTCTTCAAGAACCTGACAGGTAACTTACACCAAGGATTTCAAGATAGTTATTTCAGAATGCAGTCAGTAGAGGTGCTAAGATTCTGTAATTCTTGGCTTATCCCGCCCTGGAAACAGGCGATAGATCACAGGCTGAGCTCTTATGGGCTCTCACTGGTATTCTTAATGTCCCTAGGCTTTGACCAAGCAAAGCAAGTAGTAATCAAGAATGAAGAACATGGAGTTCTAAGAAGAACTAAATAGGTTGCCTCTCCACAGTAGGGACAGAATCAAACAGAGTGTGTGGGAATTGGCAAGATATCTAAATGATCTGATCTTCCCAAAACAAAGAATAGCTTTCTTCAGATCCAGATTTAGCATTCTTCCTTCAGCACTCCTCCAGGGCAGGTATAAGAGAACACCTATAGCACTTATGTATATGTGGTAAAGAAGTTGAAGATATCTCCCATGTTCTATTATACTGTGAGTTATACAGAGTTTATAGGTCAGCATATATGCTCCCCTTACTAGAGAGATTGCCAGGGAGGGCAGACAATTTTTATGGAGGCTTTCTCCTCCAGGACTCAAACCCACGCAGTGCCAAAATTCTGTGTTGCTGCAATGTCCACAAGAAAAAAATTGGTTACAGAATTATAGCTGTCAACTTGTACCAACTTTTGGGAGATATCTCTAACCATTTTTGGAACAATATATTTACTCACATATTTATCGGCTTTCCCCCATGTAAACTAGGGAGTGACCCTAACAGTTTGAGAACGTGCATTTTCTTAAAAGGGATGTTATTATCCACTATAGTACCCTTTTTTTAACTATATTGCAAAAAGTGATATCTATTGCTGGTCTATGACTGTAATAAAGATATATTCTATTCTATTCCTGGCTTATCCTTTCAGAGGCTATTATTCATTTTCAGGTCATACCTCCTTATCTCTTTTCCTTTTAGGTCATCATTCACAAGCTCTTGAGTATGTTCCACCCGCGGCCATTTGTGAAAACTCGTTTTGCTCCTCAGGGAGCAGTGGCCTGTATTCAAGCTGTAGCAGAGTTCTACTACAAAATAGCCTTCAGGTAAAGTAAAGGTAAAGATATCCCCTGACCTGTCATATCTGACCCTAGGGGGCAGTTCTCGTGTCCATTTCGTAGCTGATGGAGCCTGCGTTGTGCAAAGACATACATAAATAAATAGAATATAGAATAACAGAGTTGGAAGGGACCTTGGAGGTCTTCTAGTCCAAACCCATGCTTAGGCAGGAAACCCTACATCACTTCCTACAAATGGTTGTCCAACATCTTCTTAAAAACTTAAAAACACAGTTGGAGCAGTCACAACTTCTGGAGGCAAGTTGTTCCACTGATTTATTGCTCTAACAGGAAATTTCTCCTCAGTTCTAGGTTGCTTCTCTCCTTGATTAGTTTCCCGCCAAAGTGGTACCTATTTATCTGCTCACATTTGCATGCTTTTGAAGTGCAGAAAGTGTGTTTGGTGCAACTGCAGGTGCAACTGCAGGTGGAACCATTTCATCCTGTTGTTTAGAACTATCTAAAGCAGGGGTGTCAAACTTGGGGCATCACAGCGGCATCACGTGACATATCAGGACTCCCCCCTCTTCGCTAAACTGGGCAGGGGCGGGGCCAGCATGTGACACATACAAGTTACATAACTTGTAGAAGATATTTTGGGAAGGAAGAAAGATTTATCCCCTTGTTGAGCTTGTTTTTAAATAATGAAAAAGAGAGCCGGTATTTTTATAAACAAATGTGTTCAATTTCTGACTTAGGCACTCTGGGTGGTCAAGCTGTTCTGACCCAGGCTTCCATAAAAAGCAAGAAGCAGAGTCTTAGTCCTGGCAAAACCCCTTTTATTTACATGACTGTGAATTCCTTTCATTCACAGTCCGCAAGTCTTAGCAAACAGTCTTTCAAAGGAATGTTTATCAACACGAACCTTATCTCGTTTGGAGAGCTGCCAAATAACTAGTTTCCAAATGCAGGGCAAGGCAAAACTTGGCACAGAGAGTCTTATAGTCACAAACAGAACTTTCTACTCTTGAAACGACCGAAAGAACAAATTGTTTCCTGCAAAAGCCCACTCCCCATTCGCTCCTCTTTTGTTTCCTATGGGAGGGGCCAATCACCTCCAAGGTGTACTCTAACGTCGACCCTGCTGTCTTAGTTGTAGTTGTCTTCTGGCAGCTCTGCGCATGCGCACACTGGGAACAGGCTCTAGCTGTTTCTCTGCCTCACTGCTGTCTAGCTCCCTCTCTGCCTCCTTCTGAGCTTTTCTCTACCCCTAGAACTAACAGATAATAGTCCCCCAAGAGAAGAAAGGCCATATTCAGTGTGGGGCATGGAAGGAATAGGTGTGCAAGTATGTAAGGGTAGATCTGAGCAGAAAGTGTGTTTGGTGCAACTGCAGGTGGAACCATTTCATCCTGTTGCTTAGAACTATCTAAAGCGGGGGTGTCAAACTCGGGGCATCACAGCGTCATCATGTGATGTATCAGAACTTCCCCCCCCCCCTTCGCTAGACTGGGCAGGGGCGGGGCCAGCATGTGACACATCCAGCCCACGGGTCGCAAGTTTGACACCACTGATCTAAAGGAAAGACACCAAGGGATGTACATTATATACATGACTCCATGACCTCGATTCATGAACTGACCCCTTTCCAAAGTTACGGCCAATCTGAATTGTTGGCCATCTGTTTTCCCTGGATGCTTTTCCTGTCAAACTGAGAACTGATGACCTTGCTGAAAATTTTTTTTAAAGCTTTTGTTTTTCATGGTAGATAGATATAAGGTGTGGGGTTTTTTTTTGAAGTTTGTGATCTGTTTGATGTTTATGTTTTATTTCAATGGCTAAGAGTCTTCAGTATTGAAGGCTCTTAAAATGTAATCATCAATAAAGAAGGTCCAGTTGGTTTAACTTTTAATTCCAAGTTAAATTTAGCTTTCTTTGTCCTGAACAGATTGAATTGTTGGGGTGTGATTATTCCCCCCACAGTGCCATTTAAAGACCATGTATTTTAAAGGCCTTCTGTTGCTGGCTTGTCAGATCGAGAATAATGGTCCTTGCAGACTGGTTCCTCAACAGGATAACAGTTGTTCTAAACTCAATGTAGGAACAGTCCTGCACTAACGTTGCTCATTGGAATCATGTGTTACTTATTGGTACAGACAAGCAGTTCCCATGTGGGAGGGAGTGTTTCATGTTTCAGTGAAATTGATTACCTTCTCAGCTGAGCACCTAGCCAACCTGCTTTGCATGGAAATAGACTCTGATTGGCATCTCCAAAAAGGTCTGTCAAAAATTCCAGCCAGATGTTCAGGAGAGTGCCAGTCCTTGTACAGCCAACAATACTGAGTAACCATTTAGTTTCCCACTTTCTAAGACAGGGGTCTCCAACCTTGGCAACTTTAAGCCTGGAGGACTTTGACTTCCAGAATTCCCCAGCCAGCAATTCTGGAAGTTGAAGTCCTCCAAGCTTAAAGTTGCCAAGGTTGGAGACCCCTGTCTTAGAAAGTGGGAACCTTCATTCAGTCATTTAGATCTGCTATTGATAATGTTTGTCCATCATGTTCGAAGAGGACCTTGATATCTAACAGGTTGTGGGCCGTCCATGATGTGTCTGCAGGTGGCTAGTAAGGCCTATATGGGCACCAAATGTCCTGCCACATGTCTTAGCAGAAATGTGTGGGCACTACTGTTGTAGCATTTGCAGCTCTGCCTTTGTGGAGTGCCTCGCTTCTCTTGTGCTAGGGTTGTCCTTCTGTCCTCAGATGCCTGGCAGCCTTGGTGGATCAGCGTGTGCCACGTGGATTGATCTTGTGCCAGGGTTTCCCAGGAGGTGGTGTCAATTTCCAGGGACTTGAAGGAGGCTTCCAATGTGTCTTTGCATCACTTCCTTTGTCCCTGTGCGATCACTTTCCTTGAGACAGCTGACCATAGAGGGGCTGTTTGGGGATGCGATAGTCTGGCATCCTTGCAACATGGTCTGCCCAGCATGTCTGGGTTTTCATCAGCAGGGTGTGACCGGATGGCAGGCCTGCTCTGGAGAGGACTTCGGTGTCCGGTGCCTTGTCCTGCCACCGGATCCTCAGTATTCTATGGCGGCAGGTCGTGTGGAAGTGATTCAAATGCCTAGCATGCCCTCTGTATATAGCCCAAGTCTCACTGGCATACATCAGGGTAGTTAGCACTGCTGCTTGGTAGACTTTGAGCTTTATACCAAAGCTTATCCCACGGCGGTGCCACACATTGGTCAGTAGTCTGCCAAATGAAGAGCTTGGCTTGGTGATTCTGCAGTTGACCTCAATGACAAAAGTGGCCATCGATCTACTATACCTAAGCAAGACGAGCTTGACATGTATAACAGTGTCATTTTTGCAATTGTGGGTATGTGACTGGCTTTGTTACACATTCCTCAGGATGTTCTGTGACTCCTGGATCTGGATGGATTTGCACTTATAAATCTTTTCCCAAGCTAAGTGACTGATGAGAAATAGACGGTGCAGTTTATTAACTCAGAATGTGCCTAACAAGAGAGCTAATGTTTCATGGACGAGAACATAGAACTCAGCTTAATATTTAATAGGCCGTTAAAAATAGAAAGAAAACACAAAGTTACAATTACATGCTTTATGTAGAAATGTTTTCATTCGATTTTGGGTCCCCGCAGATGCTACCAACTCCATTTAAAACAATCAAATCAAATCCAATTAAAATAACAAATACAATCATTAAATTAAATTAAAATAATAAAACACAATCATTTTTAAATACACATAGTGCAGAGTAGGAGCTTTAAAAAAAACACCTCCTTATATGCAAAGTCTTCTTTTATGTTTTGAAGGCGAGAAGCACCATCAATATTGTATGTATGAGAGGCAGACTATCCCACCCTGTTAATTATTTAGTATTAATGGCAATGCTGGGAATTTACCATAGAGGCAAACGGGAAGCTTCTGCAGCTGTCTAAGCCAATATAGATGCATGTCTTGGTAAATGAATCATGTGAAGAATTCCACTGTTTAGCTCGCGGGTCACTAACCTTTTGGACCTCAGGGACCACTAAATTCATACTTTAAAATCCCGCAGACCACTAATATGATCTGCCTAATGACTGGCTGGGTGAGTATGGCAAGGTGGTTGTGTGACTGGGGGTGGGTGGGGGGTGGCCAACTCAATGTCATGTCGAGGGGGGTGCTTCGCCAGCCTCTACTTGCCCCTCCCCACCTAGCCTCCACTCCACACCCGAGCTCTTTAGGGCCCCAACAGGAAGCTTGTTGGAGCTAAGCAGCCACCACGAGAAAGAGTTGGCAAAACAGCTGGCTCAGTTCAAATTGGATCTGGCCGAGAAGGAGGCTCAGCAGAAACACCTCACTGAGGACTACAAGCAGAAGGTATCCAAGCAGAGAGAAGACCTGCAGGAATGCAAGGCCAGGTACCGGTGCCTGGAGACTCAGCAGGCTGAGATGGCCAGCCAGTTCCAGGCCATGATGCAGTCCCACTGGAACAAGGCCCTCCAGCTCTTTACCATCATTGGTGCTTCCCTCCAGCCTTTGCCCAAAGCCCTGCACCAGGAGGCCGAAGCAGATCCCCAAGTTGGCATTTCTCCCCCCGCCCCTCCAACCTGCACAAAAAGACCACAAAGGGGGAGACTCTCTACAGCAACACAAACATTCATTGCATGTATCTGGCCCAGGGGGCATAATTTGAGGAACCTTGATTTAGTGCAATTTTAAAAATGCAAAAAAAATAAATAAATCTGCAGACCACCAAAATTTTCTCACGAATGACAGTTGGTGACCGCTGGTTTAGCCACTTCTTGCTCATTTACAATAACCCAAAATTCTTCTGGTTTACTAGGATGTGTGAATGCAGTCATCTTTATTTGGTGCAGATGAGGGAGGATTAATTTTGTGAAAATAAAGGGCTTAACTTCATTAGGACACAACAGCTGATTGTTCTTTTTTGGTTTCAGAATCCATGGAGAATTCCAACTGAATGAGCCTCCAAATTTCCCATTCTGGTTTTCTCCTGCCCAATTCACGGGCTACATTGTCCTCTCAAAGGATTCTTCCCATGTTCGAGAGTTCAAGCTATTTGTCCCTAATAACAGGTAAGCTGCTCCAGTTTCCAGTCGCACTGATCAAGTGTTCTGACCGAGGCTTCCAATGAGCATGAAGCAAACTCCTTGTCCTGACAAAAAACCCTTTTATTAATTTACTGTGAATTCTGCTCATTCACATCCAACAAAGTCTTTCAAAGGGCAGATTTACAGTCACAGACCTTATCTGGCAAAACTTGGCATGGAGAGTCAAAAACCAATTAAGTGAACTAATAGTCTCCTGCAAACTCCACTCCCCGTTCGCTCCTCTTTTATTTCCTCTGGGAGGGGCTATTCACCTCTGACCTTCCTCCCAAGTTGTCCCCTGTTCTTTAGCTGTTCCCTTCATCTGGGAACTCTGCGCATGCGCACACTTCTGGCACTGACCTATTGCCAGAAGAAAATGAAACTTGGAGAGGGATAAGATTCTAGAATGTCCATATGGTCTTTCAAGCAAATTGCAATCATTTTTTTTTAACAAGACCTTGCCTTGCTGTCAATGCATTCCATATATTTCTAAATGCTATGTTTGGTAATTGCCCTCTTCCCTTTCTCATGGGTGCCCTGCTTCATGTGAATGAAAGTTTCTGGCCTTGTTGAATGCAGCTTTCCCATTTTTCTAATGACTGTGAATTTTCCCCCCCATAAGGTCCCTCAATGTAGATATGGAATGGTTATACGGTGCCTTAGAAAGCAGCAACATGGAGGTGGATATAGGATACTTACCTCAGGTCTGTAGCAAGTGTGAACTAATCCTCTATGTATGTGCATAGACATTCTTATTCTTTTTCAATTAACAAGAACTCTCGGTCTTTTCCAACTTAGTCTGGATCATCTTTCCATAAAATGTTGGCTAAGAAATAGGAGAGTCCTTTTCCAGCTATTCCATAGTGATTGCATTTACTGTTACGTTTAGTGTAGCTATTGAAACAACCCCGATTCAGAAGAAATGGTAATAAAGAAAATATTAGACTGTGCCAAAATGGACAAGCTAACGATGGAAGTTAAAGGAGTACCAGAATATTACTCAATATGTGACTTATGGTATAAATGGCTGGATAATAGGTGCAGAGATTAGAAAATCAACAATGAAAGAAGATTGCCAAATTAGAAACAAATACAGGTATAAAAATATACATAAGAATATATATTGTAAGCAATAGTATTCTCGGACTGTATGCGACAATAGATTAAAATGTATAGAGAGATATAGGTATAGAATGTTATGACACAATAATGGAAATTATGGACATAACTATGTTTAAATATCATGTATTTAAAAAGAGATTATACCCTGTTTCCCCGAAAATAAGACCTCCCCAGATAATAAACCCAATCGGGCTTTTAGCTAAAATAAGCCTTCCCCCAAAATATTGCAACACAGCAGCAGCCATGAAGTGACCACGCTCGCTGCCTCCTGCACCTCAAAAATAATAAGACCTCCCCCAAAATAAGGCCAAGGGCTTACTTTGGGGGTGCAAAGAAAATAAGACCCTGTCTTATTTTCAGGGAAACACAGTACTATATGATTAAGAGAATAACAGTTACTATTAGGTGTAGAACACCATGTATATAATTAAAAAAGACTTGATACAACCAGTATATCACTGTTGCAAAATTGAAATTGTGATGTAGAATAAGCGGAAAATGTACAATAAAAATATTTATTAAAAAAAAAAGAAGAAACAACCCCTCTTCTGGGTGTCTGAAATAGATTACATCATAAGGCAATCAAATACCACTTTGGTATCCCCAAAAGGTCTTATGTCCCTGTTGCTTCGCAGATGGAGCTGGAGTCTCTGGGACCATCTACCCCCTCAGTGATTCATGATGAAAATGGGAACGTGATTGACAGCAGAGAAGGAGAACCAATTCAGTTTATTTTTGAAGACATTTCCTGGCAGAGAGAAATAAGCTGGGAAGAAGCATCTGGGAAACTGGAAGTGGTCATGTATCCATTTAAGAAAGTATGTAAAGAGTTTGACATCCTCTCAAACGTGATTAAATAATTATGACCATGCTCTAAGGAATTAAAGTAATACAACTATGCAAGCCATATACCAGTAGTGAAAGTGACTTAACCCACTAACAAAACAAGCTGCTCTTTTAGCCAAAACTCACAGTACACAGTACGTTGTTTTTGATACATGCTTGGAAGTACTGGTTGAGGTCCCAGTGGAATCTGGATCTCTTAGAATAAATGGTGTTTTAATGGCTGTATCTTCTCTCCTTCCCCTTATCCAAATCCCTGATGCCATGGTGAAAGAGGCAAGCGACAGAAATGTTTCTAGGAGTTTCTTATCAGCAGGGAACACAAAGCCTGTGTGTAACTCAGGAGCTTGAAACAAAGTGAATTTATAGCTCAAAATATGAAATGTTAGGCAGCTCTCGTAACAGAGCTCCCCCTCCACTGAACCGGGGGGGGGGGATTCCAGGAGAAAATGAAATCAAAACAAAAGCTGGTGGGAACTTGAACAATTGAGTCATTTTAAAACATTTGTGCATGGTTGGCTCTTAAGCAACACGAGTGCTTTTGGCTCAAGGGTTGTATCAGGCTTTGTGCCATATTAATGGAGCAGTTCAAAAGGGGGGCGGCCAGGACCCAATTTTGGGGTGTGGTTGGGATTTATAGGGGTTGAAAGGGCTCTGTGAGTCTTTGAAAAGATTTGAAGAGAGGCAGCGGCTGCTTCTCCTCCTCCTCTTCCTCCTCCTCCTCCTTCTTCTTCCATATCTGTCATCAGATGTTGGCGATCATGTTGGCAATCCTATATTTGTCAACAGCCACATGAAAAAGTGCTGTTGAGTTTTGTCCAAACCAGTCCCTTAGGTTTTGAAGCCATGATGTTCTTCTTCTGCCTGGACCACCTTTGCTTTTAATCTTTCTCTGGAGAATTAAGTGAAGGATGCTGTATTTTTCTCGGTGTCGCATCCCATGTCCAAAATATTCTAACTTTCGCTTTTTAATGGCTTTGATGATTTCCCTTGGCTGTTCCAGGTGGCTTATCGCCAACTCATTTGTGATTTTTGTCAAACCAGCAGACTGACTTAGAGGCTTAGATGTCTTTTTTACCCTTTAACCCATTCCCCAAATACACATACATACAAAAGGCTGCTGGTTTTGATCTCACCCACTCAAGGATTGCAAAGAAAGTGATAGCCTACAGGGCACGTTTTTTGCATGCTTGTCTTAAGAAGAACATACTTCCTTTCGGAAGGCTTATATAGCAGGGTTGGCCAATTTACAGGCTTATGCATAACGCCAGATCTCTGTTTAACTTGAAATATGTGACTTCTTCTTAAATGAATTGCGAAGATATTGCATAGGAGCAGTTATGTAAATAGTAGTTTAACTTCCCTTGTTGGCATTAGAAGCAGGTTGGGGACTAGTTATTTCCTGAACAGGGAACCACCTGAAAATGTCACGGTTGTAAATTAAGATGGGAAGTTGAAAAAGATCCCAGAAAAGGCCATTGAGAAAACGACTTAGACTCTACTGCTGAGAAAACACTGTGAATATTCCTAGGAGATTCCCAAAGGTGCTTTTTTCCCCCCAAAAAGCAACTGGACTTCCTTGTTTTTCTTTGAAGACGTTTCACTTCTCATCCAAGAAGCTTCTTCCGCTGTGACTGGATGGTGGGGAATGGAAGGATTTATACTCCTTGCAAACAGCTGGTCATTTGCATCCTTTTATAGAATCGTTGAGGCTACCTGAGTTCCTAGGACAGTGATGGGGAACCTTTTTGACATCGAGTGCCCAAATTGCACGCATGCATACCCAAACTGAAAGGGGTGTGTGCACGAATGTGCATATGCACACACATGTGCCCAAGTGCAGGCATGCATGCCCGTGCGCAGAAAGCTAGCCGGCGGGAGGTGGGGCATCCCAACCTTGGCAGCGCAGCAAGAGGTAAGTTCTTTTTCTTTCATGAGCTTCTGTCTCATCATTTACAGGGAAACAGAAGCTCATGGAGGAAAAACAGAGATCTGACCTGGGGCGACATCACACATGCCAGCAGAGAGGGCTCTTGTGTGCCACCATCACGGTCCTAGGAGATGAGCGTGATTAGTATCTTTACCTTTAAATAACAGAGCAAGTGAAACCTGCACAACCTTAGCAGAGTCGGAAGGGACCTTGGAGGTCTTCTAGTCCAACCCCCCTGCCTAGGCAGGAAACCCTATACCATTTCAGACAAATGGCTATCCAACATCGTCTTAGACTTCCAGTGTTGGGGCATTCACAACTTCTGGAGGCAAGCTGTTCCACTGATTAATTGTTCTAACGGTCAGGAAATTTCTCCTTAGTTCTAGGTTCATTCTCTCCTTGATTAGTTTCCACCCATTGCTTCTTGTTCTGCCCTCAGTTGCCTTGGAGAATAGCTTGACTCCCTCTTCTTTGTGGGATATGAGATATTGGAACACTGCTATCATGTCTCCCCTAGTCCTTCTCTTCATTAAACTAGACCTACCCA